CATCAGGCTCATAAGTCACTGTGAGAACTATGCAAGTTTATACGCGTCTCACACTTTAAATAGTGCCTGGTACACATTGAGCAGTCAATAAATGCTTGCTGCTGCTGTTCTAAATCTGGAAGAGATCATGTAACAAAACATCACCATTGTGCAAATGAGCAAACTGAGGCTCTAGTGTAAAATAACTGATCTAAGTGTTCCAGACATTAGAGTCCACCTTTATTTTCTCCTTATCTAAAGAAAGTTGAGTGAAGAGGGATTATTCGACAGACATAAGTTCAAGCTCCATCTTTCATTCGTTGCATAACCTTGAGCAAGTTAATGTTTCTGTGAGACTCGGAAAGGCTGAGTAATTTATCCAAGGTCACACAACTAGTAAGTGGGGGGACCTGGATTCACCCCAAATAGGTCTGATTCTAAAAATCAGTATTTTGTCCCTACTATATTGTCCAAAAGTTGCTTTATGTAGCATATCTGTGCACATTACTTTTGGCTAATGTGGAAACTGAAGTTAAATGTCTCATGCACGATTGTAGCAAATTTAGACAGAGCTTGGGCTGCAATCAAAGTCACTGAACTATCGGTTAAATGTTCTTCCCACTAGATCAGTGATTCTCAATCCTAGCTATGTATTAGGTTTACTTGGGTGACCCACTTTAAAAATACACTTACCTGGTGCCACACCTTATTATCTCAAAGACTCACTGAGTTAATTTTAAGGTGCCAACGCTAAGAACCGCTGACCTCAACCCCAATAAAGAAAAGATGATCATTTCCCAAAACAGCCTCATGACCAGGCTGCTTCCTAATTAACTGAACTCAGATCTGTCCTAACACAAATACAGGTGGCAGTCTTTCTAGCTGCCACTTCTTTACCCTCTAGTCTCTTACTTTTTATCAGACTGTATCTCCAGTATAGATGAGGACCTGTGAAAACAATACTAGGAATAATCCTCTCAGGCCCTCATTATTTCTTTCCTTGTTTCTTATTTCTCATCTGGTTTGCCTCCTCCTTTGCCCTATTATATTCTGCTTTCAGATTAGTCTTACTGAGAGCTATGGCGTTGCAATTCTGTTCTCCAAGAGCTTCAGCGATTCCTCCGTGCCTACAGAGTAAGAGTAAGTACTCTTCATCCGGAGCTACCTAGACCTATATAATCAAGGCTTAAGTATACTTTCCAAACTTATCTCTAATTGCTTTACCTTTCACTTTCACTCTCTAACATTTTATCAAATATTTTATCAAAGGTTTATCTCACCTAGTTTCGATTCACTTTGGCATGGTGGGGTCTAAACCCTGAGGTTGGAGCATTTAAAGCTGGACTAAGCCACCCCGTGCAAACCATGCCCTAGGCTGTAGTGACTGGTTCCAGTTGCATGACCTAAACTGACCATAGAATAAATCTTAGAAATTTTTTCAGGATTTGGATTTATAAGTGCGTAGGTGGCAACCTTCTGATAACCATTTGGCAAGAAAGAGGGAAAAACTGTTTCAAATCAGAGTAAGAAATGGAGACAAAAATGTTTCAACCCAGAGGCACCTCTAGGATATCTGTCCAGCTTGGCTTAAAGCTAGACCTTCCTCTGCACATTCTAGCTATATAATCTCACACATTTACTTTTATGTTTAAGCCAATTCAGGTTAGGTCTTCTGTACCTTGAAATAAAAAAAAAAAATTTACTAATATAAGACACTCACTCACTAACTATTGAATACCAGTCATCAGAATGTACTGTCCATTCAACCCCATTGAAATGGGGAAGGGAGAGATTAGGTAGTATACCCAGCCAACTCCTCTGGTCTAATTTGACTGCATTTTTGCTTTTCAATTTTGCTTCTTATCTGAGCCTGAGAGCTGTGGCATACTAAAGTTTATCTGGCATGAGGCTACAGAATATACACAAGGATAGAAAAGTCACTCTCGTGTCCCTCTGTTCCTCTATTTAACCCCATGTGCATCTTCTAGCTTGACTTTGCAATGCAAAAAATAGTGGCGCTCCCCTCCAGTGCACTTGATTGTAAATCAGGATATTCAGCTAAGGCTCAGGAAAAAAAAAAAAAAAAGATCAAAGATAAAAAAAGGAAAAAGAGAAACCTTCATGTCCAGATCATGCTCCTTATCTTTAAGACAACTTGAAGTCCTTTCAGGTATTTGTAAAAGCAAGAGAAAAAAATCGATGAGAATTAAGGTCGGGCTATCACAGGTTTATCATGTTTTGGATGCAAAGTGGCTGTTGCTCACCCTTATTCCATCATCTGTCTCAGAAAGACAGCAAGCTATTGTTTCCGCGTTTTCAGAACTGTAGTAGAGAGGAGGCTGTTAACACAATGGGGCACTGCAAGAAGCTCAAGGGCACAAGATCACAGATTTTTCTTATGGGATCTTGGAGAGTAAGAAATACCCTTAAATGGAGAGCTGCTATAGGATCATGCACAGTTGTAGAAAATTTAGACAGAGCTTGGTCTACAGCTGAAGTCCAAGGAGGTTGAGGAATTCTACAGGACCATCAAGGAGATACCAAGCTGCAGATATATTTATTATTACATGGCAGAAAAAGGTTTAAAAAAAGGAAGAAGGGACGGTGGTAAAAGTGGTGAAGATGGCAAAAGATGGGTCACTTCAAATATCTTTTCTGGCTTGAATAGATAGCCCCTTTTCAATCTTTAATAAAATAAGGTTCTAATAAACTACATCTGAGATTTCTTTTTATAGATTTTTAGTGGCCGTGCTGAAGCTATGTTGTATTAACACATTCGTGCACTCAACAAGCATGTCTTGAGGCTGTACTATCCTTGTGTTCATGGTGGAGATAGAGATTTTGGATACATAAAAGAGAAAACTACTATTCCATACATAGAATAATTAAGGTGGAGAACTTCAAATGCCACATAAATTGTTACGCAAATCCTAATTGTGCCGAGAAATGCACACTCAACTAAAGGATCCTGTGTGTGTGGCTCAGCTAATGTGTCCTTTTGAAGTTGTCAGTGAAGGAACAAAAAGTTGTGAATGCCTAGAGTTTGATGTGCCACTCACCACCAACAACCAAGAGAAACATTTGTAGAGGTAGAAAAATGTCATAGAACTGCCCCAAAGATATCAAATCCATTATATAAATGGTGAAATACAACTCGTTATTGTACTTGTTCTTTGCTGCTGTTAGAAATTGGCTAAATTTTCATCCAGATGGAAAACAGAAGAGCATCTGTAAGTGATATCACCTGGAAAGATAACATGTCCACAAAAATGTAAGCCCCTTAGGTCAGTGGTCCCCAACCTTTTTGGCACCAGGGACCGTTTTCATGGAAGACAATTTTTCCATGGACATGGGTGGTGATGGTTTTGGGATGACTCAAGCACATTACACTTATCATGCACTTTCTTTCTATTATTATTACATTGTAATATAGAGTGAAATAATTATTAATTCACCATAGGTCGGGGACTGGTGCTGGATAATTCAGACCATCACCAAAAAGATAAAAGTGAATACTTCTCATGGTAAATAGAGGAAAGAGAAGAAACAAGTAAGGAGGCATGATGTCAGTGAGATATACTAGGCTTTTTATATGAGAGAGTAGTTATTTCAGGAAACTTAGTGTGAAATTGACTGTATTTTACCCCGACATATATATAGCTAATTGTAAGAGAAGTGCCTATGCTTGTTAATGCAACTACTTTGTTACATACACTTCCTTTATTTTCTTCTTTAGTAGTATTTAATTCTTTTAAAAAAATCACCCATTGTGTGTGTATGTGTAGATAGACACATAAGATATATAAAGACATAGATATAAATATACAGATATAGGTGATACAGATAACAGACATATGAAAAGATCAGCCTATCTCAGAAAAATAGGAAGGGGCAGAGTTTGCATATAATTGGACCATATTATAAAAGGCTAAGTAGCAGGTCTCCTTGGAGTAAGTAGGGTTGAGAGAGAACCACATGAAAAAAAGACACCACCATAAAAAAATAGGACTGACCACTCTTTCCAACTCTTCAAAGTGATTGCAATTTACCAGCTAGTGCTCACTTATTTGTTATTTTCACCAGGTATTATAACATTCAGCATCTGTACAAGTGACCCTCACACGTCTCCATGCCCCCTTCTGGTGCTGGGCTCAGATAAAGCCTTGGAAGGATTTAGATTTGGTTCCACATAGGAAGCCCTTCTTCACATTTAACAACATGGATGTGCATGGTTTTGCCACCACACTCTTCAGCCTGCACTAGCTCAGGCAATTTTGCTATTGACTTTTCTAAGTTGCAGGACTTAGCTCTTCTTGAAATAGAATGGATCCTGCCAATCCTACAACATGTTAAAGCACTTAAAACTTAACAAGGCAGGCGGGTCATTAGTAGCTGTATGATGTTCACTGCAGAATTCAACTCTGCTGAATTTTGAAATTTTCCATAATAAAACACTGGGAAAAATTAACAAGGTGAGTGTTTTATTTCTTGGGGTTTTGTTTTGTTCTATCAATTTTGCGTCATTCTTTATCTGAAATGTGACAAAAAAATGGCAAACTCTGATTCATGCCATTAAGAAATGGATTTTATAAAATCCCTGCCAAATTGAAATATTTATTAATTATTATACAAAATTATGTTTATGATTTATTCTTATGATTGTAATTAGTATTACCTTCGATATATTGAACCCTTACTATGTGCCAGTTATCTTGTATGCATTACCTAATTTTATTCTACAGCCACTCTCTGAAGTAGGTATTATAATTATGATCCAATTTACAAATGAGCTCCTAAGGCTCATGAAGATTAAATATCCTGCCCATTGTTTTTAGCAAACTAGAGGCACCCGGTTTTGAGCAGCCTTGAGCCCAGCTCCTTAGATACAATGAGATAAAGTGTTATAATAATCTTCTTTCAAGTGTGCAGTGAGTGGACATTTTCTGTATGTAATGTGTGAATAGGACACTGTGAGGAACACCATTGGGACCTGCCAAATAATGACAAAGAGAGACACTAGCAAGCATTTTAATCTCTGTATTCGAAATCTGCCAACTACAAAATAAACATCAAAGGCAGCTGTGGCAGCCAGATGTTTTCTTTGTTTCTTTACACGTGATCGTGCTTCTTGCCCAGGAGGAATGGAGCAAAGTCCAGACTAAAAAGGCTATCTCTGCAGCCCATCCATGCCTTGGCCTTTGTACAAATATTGCCCGCAGTTCATCACAGAGAATGGAGCTCAGCAATGATTCCTATAATGGAAACATGAATCAATTGAAACCGGAAGTAAGCCAGCAAACAAGTTTCTCTGAGATCATCAGCAAGTGTTCAATGCATAGATCATCAGACAGTAATGCTTCTTGACAAAAAAGCAAAAAATAAATATATAAAACAGCTGTGAGTTGGTGACTGAAGGTGTAAGGCCTTGTTTAGTCCACCTGTTCTATACTGGTGGACTAGAATGTACTCTTTCTATTTCATTAGTCACATGATAACCACAATTCATACAGTGGTTTTTTTTTTAAAACTAAGTACTCTGTAAATGATGGGATTCTTAAAATCTAGCTTCTTTTGCCTTAAAAAAATCTTAAGAGTTCTCTTCTTTATTTTTAACTAAATAGACACCATTATTGGATCATTTAAACTGGGATGATTTGCTCTATACCTGTTCTCTCCCAAAGTAGTCAAATCAAAAGTATCCATATGGTTCTGATTTGCACGGCTGTAAAAACTCATATTTAGTTGGCATGACTCTGTAACGTACCTAGTATAAGAACCAGCATTTTTGAGCATTATTTGTCAAGCACTATTCAAAACAATTCACATATATTCACGGATTTAACATATAGGCCACAAAGTTGTGCCCAATGTCACACAGTAAGTGATGGGGATATGAAATGTGGATCTAGACAGATAACAGGGCCCCACGGCCTACCTTCTCAGCCACTATGCTTGCTATACTTTTAAAATATCACCATATGTTAAATGTTTATTTCGGAGTTTAATGAATTTTGAGAATTGTTAATTTCAAAAGCATGAGTAGAATCCTTTTGATATCAAGTTAATGTCGATACTGCTGTTTAAAAGAATATACTTGCTCACATCTAACTTTTATATTTGAAAGAGTCCCCCTATGACCCTATGAGCCTTTTTAGAAGTAGAAGAAGGAAGATGAGATTTAATTTTAGTCACTCTCCTCTTTAGTGTGGCAGAGAAAGTTGAACTTTGTTACAATAGAGAATTGTCCTGCTGCCAATTGCACATGTCTGGATTAATGAGCACTTGGGGGAAGACTATGGAATTCTTGGTGAGATAGACATGCTGAAAAGTTTTGACATGGCCACCCAATCCTGGTCATGAATGATGCTCTCTCTCATTGCTCCCTAAATAGGCGAAATCAATTAATAAATGTATCGTGTTGGTGGGTGGAAGAGACTCAATATTGTTTATATATCATCCTTTCCCAAATCCAGCTTAAGCCAATGCAGCCAAAACCCAGTTTCTTTCTACTGAAGATCTCAGAATGAGTGAGTTTGAATGTGGGATCTAGAAGCCAGGTCTCCTGAGTTCCAGTCTAGAGCTAGAAAACAATATCATCTTCCCATTGCATTCCAACAGAAATTTTTATTAAAAAACCATTTTATCACATTGTCAGTCCAACTAGTGGCTGTTCTGTTTAAGAAGATTGAAGATGGGGCCCCAGCCCTTTCTGACTTGTACTGTTTCTGCTGAGAAATCTGCAGTCAGTCTGATGGGTTTTCCTTTGTAGGTTAGTTTTGCTTTCATCTTGCTGTTTGTAGAGTTTTCTCCTTCATTTTGACGTTGTCCATTTCAATTACTATGTGTCTTGTTGATGTCCTACTTGCTGTCAATCCTCCCAGTGTTTGACAACCACCTTGTATTTGGATATCTGAATTTCTGGCAATGCCAGGGAAGATTTCCTCAATAATTTCCTCAAATAGATTTTTCATGCTTTTAGTTATTTCTTTTTCTCCATCAAGGATATCTATAATTCGTATGTTAGTTTGCTTTGCATAAACCCATATCTATCTCAGTGATTGCTCATTCTTTTTTATTCTCTTCTCTGCCTCTTTGAATGATTGGGTTAGTTTGAGAGCCTTCTCCTCAAGCTCTGAGGATTCTTTCTTCTCCTTGGTTTAGTCTATAGTTGAAGCTTTCTGCTGTGTGTTGAAATTCCCTAAATGACTCTTTCATTTCTTTAAGTTGTATTATAGCTTTTCTTATATTGTCTAGGTCTTTAGTGATTTTTTTCTTTGATTTCCTAAAATGTTTTTGACTTCTTTTTGTTGGTTTTAAATTTTCTCTTCAATTCTATTTATCTTATATGTCATCCATATTATGAATTCCATTTCTGTCATTTTGGCAATTACTTTGTGGTTGGAGTCCACTTCGATAGGTCCATTGTAATCCCTTGGGGGTGCCAAACTGTTTTCCTTTTGCCAGGATTTTTTTTTTTTTTTTTACTGGTTTCTTCTCATCTGATTCATCTTTTCTCAGCTCAGGTATAATAGGTTTGCAGGGCACCTGATCTCCTTTTCTGGGAATTCTCCTGCTTAATTAGAAGAAGGGGAGTTCCCTAGATGGTGCTTTTTACCCACTCTGTAATGTGGACATGGCAGGGTGGGTCATGTGTCCTAAAATCCTGTAGTGCACCTGTTCTGTTTTGTCCTGTTCACCTGTGATTGCCGAAGTTCAGGCCCCTGCTGCATGATCTTTGTGCTGGGTGTTGGGTTGTTACCCAGGTCACTGTAGGAAGTTCAAGTTGGGAGCTAGGTGAGACTCTTTCCATGGAGGCTGATATTGTGGGGATTGCTTTGCCTGGGATTTCTACACAGAGGTGACAGTGGCAGCTAGGTGAGGCTATCTAGGCAGTGGTCATGGGAGCCTACGCTGTGGGCATTTGCTCAAACCAGAGTCCAGGTGTAATGGCGTCTCAAGGCTGGGGGATGTCACCAGTGGGGCATCAGACCTTGGGGCAGTTCTTCCAGCAACAGTGGTGGAGACTCAGAGGTGGGGTTTTGGGGTCCAAGTGCAGTGCTGGAATCTTGGGAGTTCTGGAGCCACAGGGGCATAGACTCAGGCTCTGCTGCAGGAGCCTCAGAGCTGGGACTGGGGCTCACAGAAGCAGTACCACATAGGCAGTGGCCTGTTTCAACCTGAGGTACAGAGGCAGGGCTGCCCTGGTGGATGACTGTTCCAAACTTGGGCATGGAGGCAGGTGCACACAGGTGGCTACTCTTACGCTGGCTCACGGACCATGGATGCCAAGTTGTGTGGGTGTGGGTTGGTTCCGGTGGCCCAAGGACTATGGAGTCCTCCCCACCCCTCCAGGTCCCACTGATGTGATCACTCAAAGCTTCAGGTGGAGCCTGTAGTGTCCAAGGAAACTCCTCTACTCAGATCTTGCTTGGCTGGAGGGGAGGGGTGCTTGGCTCCTAGTCACAGGTATGGCCCAGGGGTGCTTCTGCCCAGTCTGCTCCCTCTCCTGCCTTTTGGGGGTGATGTGAAGGCTACTGGTAAAGATGAGTCCCTTGCAGACCTGACACCATGCACCTTAGAGCTCAGGATGGTGTCAACTGTAGAAACCTGGGATCAGCAGCCACCAGATCCCTACCATGCCTGCTCTCCAGTGTAATGACTCTGCAAACATGCTAGGCAGCTCCCCAGGCAGTCCAGACAGAGGTCTGTAGTGATGGAGGGAGCTCTCTTACAATTTGGCCACAGTGCCTGCAGGGTGAGCACAGAGCCCCAGTGCTCTATTCTCCTAACCTTCCCTATATGTAGATGCTCAGCCATAGATCCCTTAGATCTTGTTGAATAAATTGCCCCATCACCTTCTCCTTCACTCTGAGTGCCCCATGTTGCTTCTTTCGGGTTTCATAGTGCTCCTTCTGAGAATAACGATCTGTAGGTAAGCAACTGCCTGAAATTTATGATCCTTTCCTTGAGAGCAGCATGCCCGTGGGCTGCTTCTGTCCACCATCTTGATGTTTTTATTTTTAATTTTTTTTTAAGGGGCAAGGCAGCCTTCAAGCCTGGCAAGATTTCCTTTTAATTATGCAGGAGGTAACCTGCCTAGAGGATAAAATCTGCCAAGAGGTGCCACTTTCTCCTCTCTTTGATATGCATCCTCAGTCAAGTTTTCATTTAATAAATATTTACTTCTGGAAACTACTCAGACACATCATGCTCCTTAGCAAAGCATCCCTGAGTATCTGCCCTCCCCAATTTTGTGATATTAATTAATGGTTCTTTGAGAAGATGTCCAAAGTACACCTTTTCTCTTTTAAAATCACATTCCTTGGCTAGATATCTTTGCATGCATAGATGTGCCTGGAGTTAAAACCTATAAGAAGTTTCAGTATAAAAGCTTTTCCCCAGATGCTGATAAGATTCCTTTTCTGAATCTGGTAAAAGCTCCTTCAAATTTTAAAGGAACAAGAGACAAAGGGTCTAATATTAATTAGTTTTATTTTTTACCACCAACAATAAACTCCATCGGTATTGAGTGGCCATGCTTCATAGCAGTCATCCTTTCTACAGTAGCATCAACTGTAAACAATAAATTTGTTTGTCTAATTTTTAAAGAATTTCACTTCTAGCAATCTCAGTGGATTTTTGCAACCACCCTGTGAGTTAATCAGAGCAGGTATTATTGTGCCCATTTTATCAATGACCAAAGCCAAAGTTGAGAGAGGGTCAGCGACTTCTCTAGATCACACAGTGAGTAGCAGAGTCCTGACTAATAAATCTCCTAAATTTTCAATGCTTCTAGTTTAAACAATATTAATAAGTGATTTCTTAAAAAAAAAAAAAAGCATGCCTCATTCTAAAATCAAAGCAATTGTGTCGCTAAGAATATTCACTTTGTCCACCACACACTGGCAAATTTGGAAAGTAAAGATGAAGCTATTTTAGGTACCCTATCACTTCTTAGATAACTTTTCCTTTCCACTCTTAGCACCAGTAGCTTTATAGTTTTCTCTATTCCCCTTTGTATGCTTTCAAGAACTATATTACATATGACTCCCAGTAAAGTATAATGAATAATAAAAGTTTAAAATGCCATTCCTCCCAGGAATACATTTCACACATTTTACATACATTTAGCCACAAATCCTTGTAAGAAGCTCTCACCAGAGCATTTCAGGCAGACATTGGGAAGTGGCAGCCGAGGCTTCTGGGACAGTGAGGTCTTCTTGTCACCGTTCTATGGCATCTCCCAAGTGAC